AAAATCATTTCACTTAAATTGTGCGGTCCTGTTTGGTATGAATTATTAGGAATGAGAGGTAAAGATGGGGATTGGAATTGAAAAAAGCCTACTAAAAGATTTTTTAGTGTGATTAATTCTTTATTAGTTGAGATTAGTTAAACTCATATAGGTAGGATTGGGAAATACTATAGGGGTTGGTAACAAGTGAGTAATTGTTATTTACTACTCTAAAACTTGTCATTATAGTTTGTAATTATGCTCCTTATTTGGGGCCTAATTGTAATTCACCTAATATTATTCCCTGCGAAACATAATTTTAATGATCAATCTCACACCCAATCCTGCTTCCATACCCAATCCCCGTTCTCATTACCAATCATCAAAATTGGGTCCTTTGTACCAAACATTAACTTCAATTTTTCTAGGCTTAATTAATTTAAATTAAAGTGAAAAATTGTCTAACGCGCCTAGCCTAACCACAACTCAATTGCTGGTTCAAAAAACCAAATGCCAAAATATCGATATTTAAATTTTAAATGACAAAATATTTCTAAACACGACTTATTAAATGGAGCTATAAAATTTTAATAAAGAAAAAATGTAAAATAAAAAAAAAGTAAGAAAGCTTAATTAAAAGTTTTTAATTTCATTTCTATAAGTTTTTAAATCAAATTTATTAAATTTTATTTTCCTTCGCCTCCCCTCATACCAAACAGGCTAGATGATCATTACTTTCCAGTTTCCAACATGAGGATGGTTTCGGCCCGTTGACTGGAGTATAGTGGACAGGGCAGAGTCATTCAAATTTAGAGGGTTAGGAATTTCTTAGAAATGAAAAGGATATTTCCGTTTGTCTCTGTTTTAGATGGTTATTCACCATCTGCAATCATAAATCTTGACTAATTCTACGATAGAAGTTAATAAGTAGACAAAAGATGTAAAGAAACTATCTAATGGCACCAATGTCTAACCTAATAAGCAAACCAAATTAACATACACTACATTGATGACTGCCTACTTCAATTTAAAGATGACTCTAATATTAAATTACTAGAAATAGGGGGTCATTGTTTTCTTTTTCCCCATTATAATCATCCTTCATATATTCCATGATGATAAGACAAACGTCAGGTGGAGAGAATTGTTTAAATTAAATAAGCTATGTTTCCCGTATTTTATTTGAATGGAGTTTATGGCATATATATGAAAAATAATGTGATTTATTATAAATTATATTTTATGTAAAACGATTAGTGAATTTTTATTCGATCCTCTTTTAAGACATCAGAGCTTATGTGAAAAAAATAGATGTGTGACTCAATGGAAATTTCATTGATGTCAGTCTCACTTCATTTGTTGTCTTGCTTCATCTTTCTCCCATTGTCTTTTGTTGTCGACAGAGAAGAGTCAATCTATAATAATTAAATTTATACAAACATGATTTAATTTTAATAAGCTTGGTTTAAAAAATTGGACGGGTGGGGTTATAAAATTTTGATAAAGACAAAAGTATAAGAAAAATTAATTAAAAGTTTTTAACTCTACTTCTTTAATTTTTCAAATCGAGCTCATTAAAATTTTTTCTTTTTCCTTTTCCTCCATTTCCCTCCTGCCAATCGAACCCTAAAGGATGAAGAAATATAGAACTTTAATTTGTGAAAAGGACAGCACTAAATAAAATACAGCTGATACTTAATTGGAGCATCTACTGGCCCACCTTAATTAATTATCACAAGAGGTGGGTTGTTATGGTTCTTGACTTGTGATTCTCCCACTAAGCATACAATTATATATCCATTATTGTTAAGCAACTTGACAATTCAATGATGAAGACTTTTCCTGTGGCACAACGCAGCCCTTTACTTTTGAAAGAGTCAATTATTTGTCCATATCAAAGAGCCTTACAAATATGCCGTGTGCTTTAAGAGTTCAAAAAGTTTTTCTTCTTAGACTAGTCTTTTAGAATTGGATTTTCTTTGGAAATTTTTTCCCCTAACAAATATGTTTTTTTTAATTGAGGGTTCGATGTGCATGGAGAATTCTAACTGGCAGGAGGCTGAGCGAAATGTTGTGGTGTGAATTATGAATTCCATGTCGAGGAGCGTTATGAAAAACAATTTCTCTCATAGTAATGTCCCTAAATATAAGAAATAAATTTTTTTATCTGAAATTTTAAACTAATCTTTTTACTTTTACCCCCATTAAATATAAATCACTCATTATCTTTTGTAATAAATTTTTACTTATTATCTTTCATATACCCTCTTTACAAATAAGGGTATAATTAGAGAAATATGTATTTATCTTATACATATATTGGTTTTAAGTTCATGTAACTAACATTTTGAATTACATGATTCTAGTAGATGTTTCTTATAGTAATTAAGGAAGGGATGGAGTCATTTCACTACAAAAAAACATGGTTTTAGCGACGGAATTTAGCATTTAGCGACGGAACGGATTAGCGACGGATTTTCCGTCGCTAATCTGTCGCTAACTCGATTTTTTTTAAAAATAAAATAAAATGCCACGTGGCACCTCTACCAATTGTCACGTCATCGCTGAGACCACCTCCACGTGTCGCTGCCACCTCAAATCTACTGCCACGTGTCACACATTTGCCTGCCACGTGTGCCTGCCACGTGTGCGCCACGTGTCACCACCACATAATTCCCTTCTCAAAGTGACTTCTCCATGGCTTGAACCCAGGACCTCCTCCGTGCGCATGTGCGGCTTTACCAGTTGAGCTACAATGAACCTGTTGACTTATTATGTAAAATTAAATATATATTATATTATTTTACACAAACAATTATATATACATATATATTATTAAAAACTAAAAATATACTATATGATAATTTTAATAAAAACTATTTTAATGAAAAAATATTTTTTAAATATTTTTTTACTATTTTTATAATTTTTTATTTTTTAAAAATATTTTTAATATAATTTTAATTTCTAACGACACTAATTTTGAATTTTACATCATAAATAATTTTTCATAAATATTTTTTAAATTTATTTTTTAATTAATATTGATAAGATATACAATTTAATTATATATATATTATATTACATTATATTATATATGTATATGTGGTTTATATATTTGAAGAAAATCATTTACAATTAGTCAAAAAATCTTGTTATTCAAAAAATTCAAAAAATAACTACTATAATAAAATCTAATAAATTATTTTATATAAAAAATTAAATGATTTAAATAGATTATGATAAACAGTATTTTTCTACTTGTATATATATCCTATGTAATTTATTTTCTTAAACTTTGTGACGGAATTTGCGACGGAAACAAATTCCGTCGCTAATTTCTGATGGAATTGCGACGGAATTTCCGTCGCTAATTTTTTTGACGGATTAGCGACGGAATTAGCAATGGAATTGTCTGACAGAAAAAGATTCCATTGCTAATTCCGTTGCTAAATATGAATTAGCGACGGATAGAAATTCCGTCGCTAATCTATCAAAAAAATTAGCGACGGAATTTCCGTCGCTAATTCCGTTGCTAATTTGCGACGGAATTTGTTTCCGTCGCTAATTTGCGACGGAATTTGTTTCCGTCGCTAATTCGCTGTTTTTTTGTAGTGTTTTTTGGAATTAGGCTGTCCTTTTAAATTTGTACTCATAATAATAGAGTTGCGCTTGGTTAAAAGGAAGGAAGGAGAGAAGAAGCTAGTCATAGCCTCTTTTTTTTTTAATGCATAACTTTATCTGTTAAAGAGCAGAAGTGACTTAATTAATCAATTGAACTTATCTGTTGACTATAATTATATGTAGAATCATAAGAGCACATCGTATTGAAAGGTCATAAGAAAACATAAAGTTGTTGAGACCTCTAAACTTGACGAATGGGCGCTTCAAGCTACCTGTACTGAATAGCACATGTTACTCTTGAAATTGTTGTTTTATTATATGTAAATGTTCGTGACAATATATTTTGCTACCCAATTGCAACTACTTCTTACGTTATCGCGGACTAAATATATAAAGAATACGAAAACTTGTGCAGAACTTGATAGCTAGGACTTGTTGGGTGGCCCAAGCATTATGCCAAATTAAATTTTGAAAAAAGGAAAATAATGATAACATATATGTAGGCATAATAGGTGAAGGCAAAATATAAGAAAACAGATAAGGGATTAGATTTTTTTTTTTTTTAACAAAAGAGAGCATTTTGTTAATTTCCAACGAAAAAAGGTCCACAACATTCAGAACAAGAAAGAAAATGCAACAGAACAAGAAAGAAAACGCAACAGAACAAGATCTACAAAGAAACAGAACAAGAAAAATAGTCACAAAAGAAAACTAAGAAAAAACCAAACAAAGTAACAAGGTCTAGCGCAAAAGCAACTCAATCACTTTTCAATTAAGTATTCGAAGATAAAACATACAATGCCTAATTACCAACCAATTACTGGGAAAAAAAACTTATCCATTTAATTGATTATTTCCTACGGAAACAGTTATAACTCACCACCACTGGCTATTATTACGACCTTTACACTTATGCCAAAAGTTTGGGCATACATCAGTATATATTAATATATCGGTCAATAGACGGGATAAAAATTCGTACACTCATACAAATAATCATGATTTGTATGATTCATAAAAATTCATAAAACTTGCGAGGACCTACGGGTATATGCCCGTCACTTTCTTTGAATATATCAAAGTATATCGGTCAATACACGAGGTAAAAATTCATAAAAATTGTATTCTACAAGTAATCATGATTTGTATGATTAATAAAAATTCATAAAACTTGCGAGGACCCGCGGGTATGTGTCCATCACTTTCTTTGAATATAGCAAAGATCATTACATCCACACGGCAGAGTGCTCACTTTATGTAAAGAATATTTTTACAACCATTTGAAGAATAAGGGGAAAAAAGAATCAATAATTTATTTATTCGTAGTGCTGTGAGTTTTATATTTTATTTTGAAATTAATATGTGAAAACAGCTCGTCGAGTGAAATACCTCGTCCATAGTGTATACAGAATAAGAGGGCGAACACCACTCAACGCAATATGTGATTTTACTTTTTAACTTTTGATCTGAAAAAAAAAAAAAACAAAGACTTAAATCAGATATATGTGTGTGTGTAGAGAGAGAGAGAGAGAGCTCACAGCTATACATTATGTTGCAAGAGTTAAAAAGATAATGATAAAACCAAACTTTCTTTAATGATAAAGCAAACATTCTTTGGCCAGGAAAGAAAACCCAAACATTCGCTTGATCAGTTTTATTCAAGCCCTAAACTGGTCATACATGTGATCCAAACCCCACAAGCTTTACATTATTTACATCAAAATGTCAAGTGCCAACAATTTATACAAGCAGACGACTTACAAAGAAGTTCCATCCCTTATGAGTTGCCCAATTGTAGTGATGGGAAATTGATCCTTTGAATAAGATTTTGGCGCCGTCTCAAGCTTTATAGATACTTGTTTCATTGTTGGACGAGATCGAGGATTCTTATTCAAGCAAGAAATTGCTATTTTTAGCACTATGATGACATCATCAACTGATTTTGTGGGTAGAGAAAGTCGTGAGTCCAACACATCATTTAACTTCAAATCATCAATGGCAGTTGATTTCTCTTGCAAAGCTGAAATAAGCTCTCCTGGATGTCTCCCCATAATGATTTCCAAAGTCAAAACTCCAAAGCTATAAACATCACATTTGTCATTCACTTCCATAAGAAAAGTCATCTCTGCAATAGATTTAATGTTATGTATATTCATCCATAATATAGAGCAAAGAGTAGTAATTTTATTAAAGATTAATATAATCTTTGATTCTTCAAATTTCTCCTCATTTTGATTTTAGTCTTTCAAGTTTCAAACTATAGGTGTTTGTCCCTCTGAGGGAAAAATAGTCCAGGTTTTTGTTGAATTATAGGGACAATTGTTTTAAATGAAAGAAACTTGAGAAATTAAAAACCTTTGGTTTGAAAATTAAGGGATCAAAACTAAAATATAGGCAAATTTGAGGGACCAAAAATTGGATCAACCCTTTTATTATTAAATAAGAGACAAAAATGTCTTACCTGGTGCAGCATATCCAGGTGTGCCAGCAAATGTGGTCATATTGCCTGAGTTAGGATTCAAAAACTTCGCCGTTCCAAAGTCAATGATGCATGCTTTTCCATAGTCAGAAGAACTTAGAAGAACATTCTTGCTGGATATGTCACGATGGATAATAGGAATCAAACAGCCATGATGCATATGGAATAAAGCACTAGCCACACCCTTAACAACGTTCACCCTCTTGTTCCATCCAAACTCAGTGGCCTGTTTCTCATCCTTTAATATGTTATCCAAGCTTCCACCTTCCAAAAACTCATAAACCAAAATGGAGAATCGTGAATTGGAATAAAACCCATGCAACTTCACAATGTTGCGATGCTTAATTTCTCTCAAAACCTGAATCTCAGTTGTAAAAGCTTTGTGGTTGGTGATTTCATCACTTGCCAATGAATGAAGTTTCTTTACAGCAAAAACATCACCTGTAGACAACTCAGCCCTATAAACACTTCCTTGGCTCCCTTTCCCAACCAAATATCTTTCATCAAATTCTTTTGTGGCATCGATGATATCATCATACAATATTTTTCTACCACCAGTCAATAACAGATAAGCATCTTCTAGTGGAGCTTCTCCATTTTTGTTTTTTGCTTTTGTTGTTATTTTGAGAAATATGAAATATGCTCCAACAACTAACATAGGCAGTGTGGCCAATGGGAGGACTATCTTCAAGAACTTTTTACTCCCATGACTATGTCTGTTTGTTTGGGAATCCCCACAAGGATTTAAACCAATAACATTACCGCACAAACCTTTATTATTCCTCAATGCCTCAAAATTATAAAAGGCTAGATCATTTGGAACAGGGCCTTCTAATTGATTGTATGATATGTCAACAATAGACAAAGCAGGCATTTTGCTAAAACTAGACAAAATGGTGCCAGAAAGATTATTATGTGAGAGATTTAATACTTGCAACTTGGGTAGCAATCCAAGTGTTGCTGGTATTGTTCCGATTAGCAAGTTGTCACTGAGATCAAGATGTTCAAGGTCTTGGAGTTCATGAAGCTCATGTGGAATGCTTTCATCAAATTTGTTTTTGCTCAAGTTCAAGACCGTTAACCTTTTTAGTTTCCTAAGCTCTCTTGTGATTGAGCCATTGAAATTATTTGCAGCCAACTCCAAAGTTTCAAGCCGACTAAGTGATCCTATAGTTGAGGGGACATTACCAGAGAAGCTATTGTTGCTCAAAGAGAGTTCTATCAACATGATCAACTTCCCTAGCTGTTTTGGAATTTGTCCAGACAAATGATTTGAAGACAAGTCAAGTAAACCAAGTTTAGATGCCTCTCCTAGTTCTGGTGGTATATCGCCAGAAAGCTTGTTATTGTGAATAATCAATTGTGTGAGATTTTGACACTTCCCCCACTTGGATGAAAGGTGGCCATACAATTGATTACCACTAAGATCAATGTAGTCCAAATGAGGATATACTCCAAAAGCAACTGTTATATCATCGACTATTTGGTTATTATCAAGCCTGATTCTTTCTAGACTAGAACAATTCTTCAAACTTGTTGGAATAGGGCCAGTGAAATGGTTATTATTAGCAGCAAACCTAAATAACCTTCCACTTTGGCAAATTTGTTGTGGCAGAGGGCCAATGAAATGATTATAACTCAATTGCAAGTTCTTCCAAACTGTCAAATTATTCATTTCTCGTGGAAGTTGACCATTGAGACTGTTGCTGTCCAAAAACAGGTGGGTGAGCTTTGTCAGATTTCCTATAGTGGAAGGAATAGATCCTGAAAGGCTGTTGTTTTGAAGAGAAACCTGACGTAAATCAATCAAGTTGCCAATGGATGAAGGAACTGGACCAAAAAAGTTGTTACCATTCAAGCCCAAATATACAAGATTTGTTAGGTTTCCAATAAAGGGAGAGATTGGCCCGGAAAGTCTATTAGAGTATAAATTAATGCTAGTGAGAGAATAGAGTTTCCAGAAACCATTAGGAATAGGACCCGAGAGATTGTTGTCATAAAGAAAAATTTCTTGCAACTTGGTCAGGTTTTCGAGTGATGCTGGGATTCTCCCTGACACAGGGTTGTTTGCCAAGTAAAGGCTCAGAAGATTACTTAACATTCCAATCTCTTCTGGAATGGGACCAGAAAGGGAGTTCTCTCCAAGCCATAGGAACGTGAGATTCCTCAAATGGCCAATTTCATGCGGAATTGGCCCTCTCAGGTGACACGTACTAAGGTCAAGAATATTTAGGGTGGTTAGTTTCTGGATTTCAGGAGGGATGGGACCACTAAATAAATTATTCGACAATTTCAGTACTAAAATACTGGACAAGTTACCAATTTTGTGGGGAATGCTTCCGTAAAATTGGTTCAAACTCAGATCAAAATGTCTCAGATTAGGAAAGGAAGTGAAGTTGAAACTGTCAAGAGTACCTTGTAGGCCGAGATTTGACAGACTTATCTTGATCACGGACATGGATTCATCACATGAAATTCCCTTCCAGTTGTGTCTGCAAGGTTTGGTTTCATTTTTCCAAGAGGACAAGGTGGCTTTGCTTTCATCAGTTAATCTGGCTTTCCAGTTCAACAGAGCTTTTGCTTCGTTATCTTGAGCAGCAGCAGAACTGGAGAATATGCAGAGGATACAACATAATGCTAGCAGCTTAATGGAATCTATTTCAGACATGGTTTTTTGTAGATTTTTGGGTCAGGAACATATTCAGAGACTCAGATGTATATGGATGCCGAAGTTGATGAACGGACCTTCTTATATATAGTGTGGATTGGCCTTGTAGGCAATAAAGATTTGTCCAAGAAGGGTTGACCAGCCAACGACGACGTCCCATCCGAAATTTATCGTACTCTTAATTATAAAAACTTATTTATAGTTCATAAATAAGATTTTATAAATAGGACAGAAAGTATACAAAGATGACCTGGATCTTTTGAAGTGTATGTCTGTTTCTGTAAGGTCGAAAAGGTTGAAGTTTGGTTCTAACCTTTATGGTTTTTTTACATTTATATCCATCGAGCTCACAATACGCTACTTTTGTATCAAATAAACATCAGTCTTTACATTTAGAGCGGACGAAGATTAATAATGATGCAGAAGGGAGCAGTGGGAAGAGCTTCTCTGACTCCTATAATCTTAGCTATTTAAAATTTTAGTACCCAACTTCATAAAATATTAATTTTATTTTTGGTGGGAGGATTTGTGAGCCACTGTGGATGGAACTGGGTTGTGGGAGAAGAAGTGAAGGGAGGAAACTGGGGATCGAGTCAGGGAGATGATGAACGATGTGAAATGGCATCCAGCTGGAAAAATATCGTCAATGCTTTGCTGACGTCGACGACGTGAAATGACATCCAGCAGGAAAAATATCATGCTTTAAACTTCATTTAACATGTTTTATGGATTAATACTATTTTTAATTCTTAAAATTTTACCTCATTTTGATTTTTATTCATCAAATTTGAAATTAGTGGTTTTAGTTCCTGAAACTTATCCATATTTTGATTTTAATTCCTGAAATTTTAAACCAGTAGTTTTGGTCCTTGAAATTTACTCTTATTTTGGTTTCATCCTTTGTTTATTAATCAGAAATTTTAAGCCAGACCAAAATGAAATCAAATTTCAGGAACCACAACTATTGATTTCAAATTTTAAAGATTAAAAGCAAAATAATGTCAAATTTTAAAAATCAAAACTACTAATTTCAAATTTCAGAAATCAAAACCAGAATGAAATCAAATTTCGGAGACCAAAACTGAAATAAGATTAAATTTTTAGGGACTAAAAATAATATTAACTTAATATCACATATAAGGTTTGGTTTTATGGTTGATGCCTCAAAAATCAAAATAAAAACTTGATTCAAACTGATTTTTTTTAGTAAACACGCGTATTCTTTGTATTAGAAGCAATGTAATAAACACGCATAACATGGGTCTGTGGAAACTTGAATCATTGATGGAAAAAGGATAGAAATGATTTGATAATCATTTGCTGCCTCCGATGCTTATTACAAACGTCAAGTAACAAATATAAGAATAACAAATAATTAGAAAAAATTAGTTAAAAGTAACAAATAAGTTAAAAATATATTTGTGTTTTCAAATATACTCTTATAACAAATAAGAAAAATAATAAAAGAAAATGTGTGGAAAAATATATAAGAGAGAATATGACAATAAAAGAGAATAAATAATTAAGAACAAGAGTAAAAAAATGTATTACATGTTAAAAAAAACTCAAATTAAAATTTATAAAATGAACCATATCTCTTATTAAATTTGAAGTTTATAAAAAAGATTAAAAGAAGCATTAGGCATTGACCCGTAGAGCAGTGTCCGTGAGGCGAAAACCTGGGATACATAGAGAGAGGCTTACAGCTAGCTTGAGACTTGGGCTTTAGAAGACCCTGTGAGTGCTGGATATAATTTAGAAAATGATATCGGGATGCTGAGTGTATTAAAATAAAATAAAATTAGGGCATTAGATATATATTGGACTACTGAATGCACCTTTACCATTTAAAAATATATATAAAACTATAAATGCCATAAAAAGTGCTGGCCAAAAAAAAAAGCCATAAAAAGTAAATAATAGAGAGATGAAATGCATTTAATTTTTTTTCCCTTTGTACATGAAAATGACGATTATATAACACCCTTTCGGACTCCCTACAAAACTTTACCTGCCAAAAGAATTTTGCTGATGAGCTTGCTTGTGACATTCGTAGTGGAATCACACTTATACTCCACTTTCTTTTCTCACCACTCAAAAGTGTAGGCAATCATTACCTTGGAGTTTATAGTGTAATTAGTGTTCGTGATCATTTGATTAAACGGATACCAAATATTCTTTTTAAGTCTTAACTTAAATAAAAGGTTGCAAATTTGATCTTCTATGAATAAAAATGAGTACATAAGTTTCTTCCACAGAATAAAATGATGACAAAAAAATTTGATTTACAGTGGAAGTTTTTTTTTTTTGGGCGTATTACAGTGGCAGTTTAATTAGAAGCAATATTCAAAATACAAGCAACTTTTAGCCTGCTGATTACTGGTTTTAATAATAACAAATAATGTTAAAAATTATTTTAAATAAGGATTGATGTTTTTGAAAATCGCATCCTAATTAATTAATTGAGATAATTGTCTTCGTTGCAAAATCAGGGAACAATGAATAATATATTGACGATGATGAAGAGGAATTTGTCGTTAGTATTAAAAATGGGGGTAAAATTGTGGAATCGAGATACAAAAAGTAAAATGACGTTGAGATATGAGTAGAAAAGACGAAGGATAGTTCTTGAAGAACGACTATCATTTTTCATTTGAGCTTATTAATTGTGTTTTTATGAAAAATATTATTTTGTGCTAGAGTTTTATTCACTACCTAGATCGTTAATAGTAATATTTAGCTAACTATATTATATATTGGCAGTATTAGTATTGGGTATTAATTCCGGGTGAGCTGAATATATAAAAGTCTTGAATATTGTGTGAGTTGTAGGTGAGTTTGTGGTAAATCCTACTGAAACTTTAATTGGATTATCATAGTGAAAAAATCTCCAATACGTTTTTCTTTTTTTTTAAAGGAGACTGGATCTGGGTCAGAAGGATTGTATTGGGATGATTTTTGTGGTGCATGATTCTCTTTTTCCCTTACTTCTTCACATCTCAGCAGATAATATTGTAGTACACATTTCATCTCATTATTCTGCAGTTTTATAATTTAGTCGTTATTTGTAAGTTTTTGAGCTATTTAATTTTGAATTTGACTGGTAAAGCAATTAACCCAATAGTACATGATCTGAGAACCCAATTTGAGGAAAATTATTTTTTTCCCCCCTAACCGAAGCCCATAACAACAGAGCCCTAACCCTAAGACTCTAGCCACAAGGGCCGCCGCTGTTGCCGCTGTCGCTGCCGGTGAAAAAGTGAAGGAGCATTGGTATCTAAAGGAGTGTTTAGATAGAAACCAAACCATAGTTTTAAAAGTGCTTTTACAAATTACGAAATAAATATATAAAAAAAATTATCTCATTTTATAAAAAAATATATTTCTGAAATCGTGATTTTAAAAATACCAAACACCCTCTAAGCCAAAGACAGGGATGTGGGTTCAAAGAACCACTATTAGAACCATCCCTCTAAAAGTCACGCATGCTACCCATAGGGAAGATTTACAAGAACCATGCAATAGCTGACGCGTGGGGAGGAGCTTCGGGTTTTGTGAAGCTGGGTCCAGATAAAATGGGGGGAAAAGAAAGGGACAAAAAGAGGTTATTTTACAATAGCGGGACCCACAAAGACATAAAGTAATTTCCTCCCATTATTTTTAACAAGAGAATACTGATACCCAAAGCCGAGCTACTCATCCATCAGTTTTTGTCCTGCATCAGAAGTGTAAGAGGAGGGTGGGCAGGGGCAGGGGCAGGACACATAAACAGAGAGATAAATACATAATAATTGTCCTACCTGCTCAATTAATAATACCATAAAATCAAACATGTTTGCCGCGATGCTCTTCACTGTGTCGGTATATCTTTGCCACGCGTTAGATTTTGTTTGCTTCTTTGAGCTCTTTGTTCTACTCAATTGCCTGTCATGTGAGACAGTGACTTCTGCTTGGATCTTGTGGCCATGGGTCGGGGATAGATAGGTGGTTTTGGTCGAAGCTTGGTAAATCACGTGCAGGGCTCCGAAAATTGGGCTTGGACATCGGTTGGTCCCCATTCCGTGCTTATCAACCTGATAAGGACGGCGTGCTCAGCACTCAAAGCGCTCAAAGCGCTAGCTGTGCGGAACCTTAGTTTTTTTTTTTTTTTTCCCCTCCTTGTTCATAAGCCAAAAAAAAAAATATATATATATACTACTTTTAGTTTTTAATATAAAAACTGATTTGATTTTTATTTTGATATTAAATATAAGACCATAATTTATTTTTTTATTTTTTAGACGGTCATTATAATAATGATAATTTTAATCAATACACTTAATTAATAAGGATATTTTAAAAAAGACAATACCTATTTATTACAAATAACTAATTTAACTATTTTTTTAATCTGCTCAAATTAGTCAACTACTCCTTTGGTCCTATTTATAAGGCATTTCTAATATGTTTCACACAGATCAAGAAAAACCTTAAATTGCATTAACTTTTCATTAAAACATAGCAACTTTTCAACTTTATCTCTATTTAATATATATTTTTTTTAAAAATTACTATTTATACTATAATAAATGAAGGGCAATATAGTATATTCATGGTAAAACTTTAATGAAGTGACTTATAAAAAGGACTCAAAAAACTTCTCTCTCTTCCCTATAAATAGGACCAGAGGAGTAGTTCTTATATTAAGGACCAAAGTTAGTATATATTAAACTTATTTTTGGATTAAGTTTCATCCAATACTCTAAAATATTTTTTCATGTGTATTCAGTAAAAATACTGGATGTATCTAAAAGATACTTTAATGTTTTGGATGAATCACAAAATATTTTAAGAGACTAAACGCATTTGGAAAAATATTTCAAGGTGATGGATGAATAAAAAATTATTTTTAGGATGCTGAACTTGCCTGAAAAGTAATTTAGGATGTTGGATAATTGCATCAACAAATATTTTAAGATATGAGGCACATCTGAAAAAAAAACATTTTAGCGTGTTAGATGAAACACTATTTTAGGATAATGAATGTATCTTAAAAAAAATACTTTAGAGTATTAGATGAAATTTAAACCAAAAATAATTTTAATGCATATATATATTTTTTAATATGGAAGGTTAAAAAAGGGGAAGAAGAAAAAACAAAAACTAAGGTCCCACACTGCCAGTGTTTTGAGTGCTGATCACGCTGTGCTCATGATGAGCATAGAATGCGGATGCTCCGACATGGATTAGCCTTATTGTTGCATCCTATGCGGACAAGGTTGAAGCTAATTAATTAAACTTCTTTTATTTTGTAATGAACTTGAAATGGAGGTTGCGTTCATTGGGTATTTGAATAATATCCTGAATAATATATGGAGATTAGGCTGGGGCTCTAATGCTTATAATTGTGGCTATGAAGTGATGGTTCATTTCATTCAACGAATATTATGAATTTTACAAGGTTCATAAAGAAGACCAATAATGATCTTGTGGTAGACATCAGGGGATTAAAGAGTGAATATATTTCTGAAGCTATGCATAGGAGTAAGTCATACATATATATTCATAAACTTGTAAGTTTTGTTATCATCACAGTTTACATATATAATTCATATACTTACTTATTTTATAGTTCATTTTTAATTTGTAGATTTCACAAATACATTAAAAAAAAAAAGAATGACTATATACTCAAAATGATTAAAGAGTTGGAAGAAATGTGTTTTCAAAGCCTCAAACCCTTTGGGGAAAAAATAAAAATTGACAAATCCGTGTGAATCACGGAACCAGGCAGCATTCACCAGTTTTATGGATTATTTTCCCTTTAGTCAACAAATTTTTCATGCCAATCAAACCAAACAAAAATTTAATTATTTGTTAATATATTCTTATTAAAATCTATGGTCTAACCTAATTTGCATAATAATGATCTCTATTGGGAAAATGATAGATCATGAAAGACATGGGACGTCCTATATTTTAATAGCGTGCATTTCTTATTAAAAACTTATAGGTATTTTGGCTATACTTTTCTAACTAACATAGTAGTATGACCGAATTTCTCTTATCTAAAACTAATTTCATATTTGTTAGAATGGCTGCGTTAATAAAGTAAAGCAGGTAGAGATGATGCACAGAAAAGACGAAGAAAGTGATGTGTATTGTAAAAATAAATTACTATATTTCAATTAATTAATTGAAAAGTTGAAGAATATAATACAAAAGCTTTGGTCATATCGAATAATTAGTAGCAATAATTGTGCTGACGAATGGTGCATAACGTTAAAAATCATAATGATAGTGATAGACGTTCTTCTTCTTCTTCTTCTTCTTCTTTCTTTCCACACCATGAAAATAATTTTTACTTTAAGCATAGCTATGGGAAAAATAAGATTAAGCATCTTCACTTTTTTTTTTTTTGGTTTATAACAAGAAATTTAGGTGAATCAAGTCCTAATTGCTCATTTCTCACAAGGATAAAAGAAAATGTTCTCAAATCCAAACAAAGCCTATAAAATTACTTATATATCATCCACTGACAAAATCTTTATATTGAGAGTGAGATATGAACCAAAATCTTAAAGGTTATAAACCAATTAAGTCCTTGCAAACTGAATCAACATTTAATAATAAACATCTTCACATTTTAATATAATAAGGAGTGGAAGCATCCTACGTAGGTATTAGGTAACTACACTAAAGTGTTTTTATTCAAATGACACGCATTGTATTATGTTAACATGTTTCTTAAGTTATTACTCAACAACGATAATTTCAGTAGTTTTTATTTAGGGATATATATGATATTTAACATTTTAAAAAAATCCCTCTCTTAATTCTATTTATTTTTATATATCATTTTTTTATCAGGTATATAGAACGAGATCACAATTCAAACTTGTATTAACAAGAACTCGATTTTTCTTGTCACGTATCGTTTCTACAGTGAAATTTTTATGCTGACTACTGTGAGGATTGATGTGAAAATTTATAATTATCGGTAAAATAAATATTTAAAAACTGCTATGTACAAACAATGCATGCAATTTAAACCAAGATGTGTGTGTGTGTGTGTTAAATTCTACCGCTATTTATATGCCATATAATTTTTTAATTCTATATTGATAATAACTCTCTAAATTTTCATCCATCGACTAGAAAGAATCTAGTCTAATATACAATCAAAATATAAAAACTATATCTATGACTATTCGTACATATTTTATATCAATATTATATTGAATATAAAGTTATCCATAGAATTCTTAAATGTATAAGGATGTCATAGGATTCTCTTTATTTTCCCTGGACCGACACCTAATGAAAACGAAAATCACTTGATCGAATAGCTATCTAAGTAGTGGCATGTCTTATTTACCTACAGTTACCCATCCACACATCTCACTGATGTGAAGATTGTCACAAATGAGAAAATCACACTTATAAGAGAAAATTATGCAAAAGGATCTAGTGAATGATATATATATATATATATATATATTTTGGCGGGAACAACCAAGACTTCTTTTTTTTTTTTTGGGACCAAAGGAACAACCAAGACTTAAAGTCCATTAATTGCATATATGCAATTGAGTTTTAAGAATCATTATGGATGTTGATCTCTCTCTTTTCATCTTTCTCAAGTAGCTCCCACTATTACTCATCCACTATGTCATTAATTTTACAAATCAACTCGCATTCATATTCATGGAATTTATATTTCTTTATGTTTCATTACTTAATATTTAACAGAAGACATATATCATGTATTTAGTATCTTAAAAAAGTGAAAAATATTATCTCAGATTCTTGACTCTTCTCTAAAATTCCTTTCTTCTTTTGTTGAATATCCTAAATTTTCTTTGTTTTCATGACGGATTGCAATTTTTGGTAATCTGCAATAAATTTCAAGAATTGTTCCTTTTTCCTAAATATTCCACTCATTTGGTCGTTTTGCACAATTTCCCAACTTGTAACTTGTTTTTCCCCCGGTGGGGGGGGTTGCTAAAGTAATGTGGAATTCTTAATTGTAAAGTTGTATAGGAAACTGTCCTTGGTCTCTCAAAAAAGTCGAATCATAGTCAAAATAATGGTAGGCCGATTTTGTTTATTATTATGATTATTATTATTATTTTTTGGGGAAAAGAGTCCACAATATAATCTCACATCACATATATCGCAACAAGCGCTTGAGAAGGGATTTATATAAAGAGACAAATTAGAGTCGCCATTCTCGCCCATCTCGCAACATTCAGTTGAAGCAAAATGAGAGGCTCAACTATGTTTCACCTTCTTCTTTCGTCATTTCTGCTCTGCTGCTTCCTACAGCTGCAGCAACCTGCCCATGCCATTAAAAAGGTAAAGCAACCATAATTTTGGTTTGTAGTTGACAGAAGTAGAGCCGGTAGGCTCAACTCACCAATCCACCAAGAAGTGGTGAGTTTGCTAATAAAAATTGGGATCGTTTTAAAAATGGATCTTTTGAGCCCATAACCGCTAAGACTGAACTCGCGGTAGGGTAACCCACAGGGTGGGCGGGCCAACCCGTTTTACCTTCTTTTTTTTTTTTTTTTTAATTTTCCCTTTTGAAACGCATCGTCTCTGCCCCTCTCATCTTTTTTTTTTTTAAATTTTTCGCTTCAAAAGGCAACAATTTCCTCCCCTCATTCTTCAATCATTTGCATTTTGTGCAAGCTCTCAGCCTCTCTGAGTCTCTGTTCTCTCAACTCTCATCTTTTTCACTTTGTATTATGAATTTTATTTGTGACAAAGTCAGCTAAGCAAAGAGATGGTGGTTTTAGTACTTCTCAAGCTCAACCAAATAATTTCACATCCTCAGATCATGCTTCCAACCCAATCAATATTGAGTGATAACTCATGATTGAGCATTTGATAGTGATTTAGGTAGTGATACATTGTGTTTGTGACTTTGTGTTATTGCTGATTTGGATTTATATTTTAATTTGGGATGTTTGTTAAATCATTTAGGATGTATCATGTATGTTTAATATTTTGAGACATTTGAAACTTTGGATTCCATGTTTTATTTATGATAATTTATATTTGTATGTTTCATTTTAGGTATTTAGGAATTTGAGTAGATTTTATCAAAATAAAATAAAAAATAAAAAAAAAGTTTACAAAAATTGGTAGGTTGGCAGGTTAGGCGGTCTGGGTTGGAAAAATTCTAGCTCGCTAGAGGTCCATCCTAAAAAGACTGACCTGCTAGGCCTCAGGCCCGCCATGGGCCAGCTTGTAACCGGTAGGCTGGCCTGTATTACTGACTCTAGATAGAAGTATTATTCTTAATCAATTTAATCTTGCAGTCGTACGTTGTATACTTGGGATCACATTCTCATGGTCCAAAACCTTCCTCTGCTGATATGGACGTTGCCACAAGTTCCCATTATGATTTGCTTGCCTCTGTCTTAGGAAGGTACACCTGCCATTAATTTGTAGTCCCAATTATATAATTTGGGCAAGAAAACTAAAGCTGTATATGACGAGAATTTGAATTCCCTTAGTTGATTATTTTTGCATCTTGACAGCCATGAGAGGGCCAAAGAAGCCATGTTTTACTCTTACAACAAACACATCAATGGCTTTGCTGCATTGCTTGAAGATGAAGAAGCAGCAGACATCAAAAGTGAGAGCCTCGTCATATCCTTCCTCTATTTCCTATTTACAATACAAACTTACCTATTTTGCACAAATAAAAAAAATGTTGATTTCTTTATAGTTACCACATCCTTCCACAAATACCCTTTATTAAATACTCCAGTATAATGTTTCCTCATTTAATAACATTCATGTATGGCAGCCAAGTCCAATTACTCCTACGATTTTCAGTGATGGGCAAAATGGGAAGCGTTTATATAATGCCTTTGATTGAAGACACTCTTTTGAAACTAAAAAAGTACCCTTTAGCTTTCGCTTATTATGCATGCGAAAAGCATGTCATACATAGAAAAATCAAAACCTTCTAAGAAGGTATAGAAGGGACTGTTATACGGTATTCAGAAACAAGCTATAGTGGTTACAACGTTACTTGATGGTAACAACGTTGATACTGATTGACATGAAATTGTTGGAAAATTGGCGCAGAAAATCCAAAAGTGGTGTCGGTGTTCCCGAGTCAATCACATCAACTGTACACAACCAGGTCATGGGGCTTCCTGGGACAAGAAAGAAATGGAAGAGTTAGAGCTGACTCCGCTTGGGTCAAAGGAAGGTTTGGTCAAAATGTGATTATCGGCGGTGTTGATACCGGTAATTATATAACAAGTTGCAAATGAAATCTATTTATATAATTATTTAATGCAAATATGACATGATCATGTGCATGTCAAAAATGGGCCATCATTTCCTTTGTATATATTAAAAGCCATTTAACATCTGTTTCATTGGATAGGTGTTTGGCCTGAATCCGGAAGCTTCCGAGATGATGGATATGGCCCCATTCCGAAAAAGTGGAGAGGAGGATCAAAATGCGAGCTGTACAGTTTGTCAGGCCGATCTAACATAACTCTTTGCAACAGGTTTGATCAAAATTTGAATATGTGTGTGTATATATATTTTTTTTTACAAAAAAGTATATGTGAGTTGGGTCCCGGGGATTCACCAGAGTCAGGACATGCCTTCAGGCTCAAAGAACGCTTACAGGAGTATTTACAGATCGCCTACCAATAAGGTTTTCACATCAGCAGCGGGATTTAAACTCACGACCTTATGGTTTATGATTCAACTTCTTACCAACTAGACCAACTCTTGTTGGTTATATATATTGATATATGCATATACACACAAACTGTGATAAGCGTAAGTCCAAAGATAGAGTCTAATCCCAAAAGACTAACCCATTAGAAAGAAGGGTCTCTTGAACTTATAAACTATATAACACCTGTGAGATCTCCAATATGTGACTCAACACAAACACAGTTCAGATTAAATAAGTATATGCATGAATTACAGGAAGCTGATTGCAGCACAAACGTTCTCCAAAGGCTATTTGATAAAACACGGAAGTCTAGGGTCATCAAGTGGCATCGGCGCTCGTGACATCGTCGGACACGGAACTCATACTTTGTCGACGGCCGGTGGCAACTTCGTTCGGAACGTAAGTGTTCTCAACAATGGGAATGGAACGGCCAAGGGAGGATCTCCAAGAGCTCGTCTTGCTGTTTACAAAGTCTGCTGGGGTTCTCATACTTCTGAAGATTGCACTGATGAAGATTTGATCTCTGCTTTTGACCAAGCTATTAATGATGGCGTTGATGTGCTCTCTGTCTCAATGGGTAAAAATGCCGTCCCAGATGTTAACGAGATGTTGACAAATGGGATCTCCATAGGATCCTTCCATGCAATTTCCAGAGGAATCATAGTTGTTGCCGCTGCCGGTAATTCAGGCCCAAAACTTGAGACCGTCTCAAATGTGGCGCCTTGGATCTTCACTGTTGCTTCTGGCTCCATTGACAGGGAATTCAGCGATAATATTACTCTTGGTAATGGCCAAACCATTAGGGTACGTATTTCTTTTAAGCTTAGTCATGTTTGTTTTTTTAAAAAAAATTTTTTCTTTTACTAACAATAATAACTTGACATGGACGTCCAGGGGACAAGTCTTGCCTCAAACTCGGCATCTCAGACGTTAACTCCTGTCGTATTTGGTGGCAACGCGAGGCTTCCTAATGCAACATTTCAAAATGCGTAAGGATGAATAAAATTCCTCAATTCATCATATGTGGAGTTAATAATTAACCTTATTTCCTTTAATTTTTGTGTTAAACTATCAAATGTTCGTTCTGTTGCTCTTGCAGTCAGCTTTGTAGACCAGGAACACTTGATCCTACAAAAGTAAGGGGTCGCATATTGATATGCCAAAGAGGAAGGAGCCTAAGGCCTGTGGACAAGGGCGCAGAAGCGGTGCGTGTCGGCGCATTGAAAATGATTTTGAAAAATGATCCGGCATTGAATACAGCTACAGCTGATGCTCATGTTTTAGATGCTTCCAATGTTCCTTTTAGTGCTCCTAAGTTGTCAGATCCAAATCATTCTTGGGACTACTTCGGCAACAAGTAATTATTATAATCTGTCCCCTTCGCATGCCAATCCTTTAGAAGTTGCTTGGAAAATATTTGCAAAGACTGGCTTCTATTCATACATATGTATTATTGCTGCAGGAACCCAGTTGCATTCTTGAATAATGCAAAAACATTTATACCTATAAGGCCAGCACCAAAAGTTTCTGCATTCTCATCGAGAGGACCCAGCTTGGTTCTGCCATCAATCCTCAAGGTTCTGTATCCATTCTAATAGAACTATCTAATGACTCCCTCGATCAATCTATCAGCTACATTCATGAATTTTTTGTAACTTCCAACATTTTTTTTCCCTCCCTTCTTTTAGCCGGATGTAACTGCACCAGGTCAAGATATAATTGCTGCTTATTCAACTGCTGCAAGTCCTACCAACCTGGATTCAGATGTAGGACGTCGCTTTGACTATAATGTACTATCCGGAACTTCTATGTCATGCCCTCATGTTTCTGGCATTGCTGGTCTTGTTAAAAATCGTCATCCTAATTGGAGTCCTGCAATGATCAAGTCAGCAATCATGACCACAGGTATATGACGTACATTAATAATTTGTTTCCATGTTCACAATTTGATTGATTTCTAACATATATCAAAGCCTATGTTACTTTTTTTTTTTTTTTATAGCAAGCACACTGGATAACACCAATAGACCAATCAAGGATGAACAAGATGGTCGCATAGCAACTCCATTTCATTATGGCACAGGATATGTCAAACCCAACCTTGCAATGGACCCTGGACTTGTTTATGACCTCAGAACTCCCGATTACCTCAATTTGTTATGTTTTTCTGCTTACGAGGAAAGAATAATTGAAGCCATTAATTATAATAGGCCATACAAATGTCCAAGGTCTTACAGAATACAAGATTTCAACTACCCTTCTATCACTTTGCCTTTTCTGGGTGTGAAACCTGTCAATGTTACTCGTGTAGTAACAAATGTTGGGCCCCCAAGCACATATACTGTCAATGTCAAAGCACCAAGAGGGTTCAAGGTTGTTGTTCTCCCTACAACTTTGACCTTTCAGAGGACAAACCAGAAGAAGAGCTATATGGTTATTTTGCAGGCAACACGTTCAGCCAAGACTTCAGAGCCTTCATTTGGAGAGTTGGCTTGGACTGATGGCAAGCACAAAGTGAGAAGTCCTATAGTAATCCCTCAACATGTGAAAATGGCTATGTAGATTTCAATGTTTCCAATCCACTGTGTTTGTGTGTAATAGCCTTAATTAGTCTGAGGCAGTAGTCTTAATTAGTGTGTTCTCATGTGTGTTTGGATTTTCTCATCTTTTGCATATTACAATAAAGCGATGGGTCTACTCGATCCATAGGTACTCCCACAGCTTTTCTGATCTTTGTTAGATCCTTGAGCTTCGTCTTGAAGAATTTGTTGCTTTTCTAGAAAAAATGTATGCAATAAATCTTACCAAACCTTAGACTTTACATCTTCATTCAACATCTATAATAATTGTTTCATAGGACACAAATTGTAAGAACACATAAAAACATGTTAAACTTAGTACTACCGACGAATTTAGATATTTAGTTTGGATTATGGAAAAAAGACAGAAAAATGACACTTGAACTTCATAATGCCCAAATGGTCTGCTGAATTTGAGAAATCCTATTTTGGTCTCAAGAGACTAAATTGGGATTATCATGTTAAAAGAAAAGACAAAATTACCCTTCATTTTATTTATTATTTTTAAAATACCAAAGCCCCCACTGACTGGCCGATCACCAGAGCTCCGGCGGCGGCAGTCACCGGAGCTCCGACGACTAGCCAACAATGGGTCACTAGAGCTCTGGTGGTCGGAAAATTTTTTTAAAAAAATTTTTATAACTTCAGTATAACGGTTAACAACTTTTGTAATGCTATTAAGAACTTAAGTATAATAGTTAACAACAGGTTTTCTGGGAAATTCTATAGGCTCCGGGGGCCAGAAACATTTTTAAAAATTTTTACAACTTCAGTATAACAGTTAACAACTTTTGTGATGCTACTAATAACTTTAGGATAGCAGTTAACAACAGGTTTTCCGAGAAATTCAACAACTGTTTGCCGGAGCTCTGGCGGCCGAAAATAATTTTTTTGAAAATTTTTATAACGTCAGTATAATAATTAACAACTTTTGTAATGCTATTAACAACAGGTTTTTTGAGAAATTCAAAAAGTAGCATTTTTACAACTTCAATAATGCCGTTAAGAAGTTCCGTAACTCTATTAACAATTTCGGTATAGCATTTAACATCATGTTTTCTTAAGAATTCAAAAAAATAGCATTTTTACAACTTTAGCAACTACTTTTTTTTAAAAAAAAAAATTTACAACTTCAGTATAGTGATTAACAACTTTTGTAATATTATTAACAACTTCAGTATGGCAGTTAACAACAAGTTTTCTGAAAAATTCAAAAAGTAGTATTTTTACAACTTCAGTAATGTCGTTAACAAGTTCCGTAACTCTATTAACAACTTCGGTATAGCATTTAACAACAGGTTTTCTTAAAAATTAAAAAAAATGGCATTTTTATAGCTTTAACAATTACTTTTTTTAAAAAGATTTTTTACAATTTCAGTATAACAGTTAACAACTTTTGTAACTTTATTAACAACTTTAATATAGTAGTTAACAACAGGTTTTTCGGAAAATTCAAAAAATAACATTTTTACAACTTTAATAATATCGTTAACAAACTCAAAAACTTGTTGTTAACTGCTATACTGAAATTATTAATAGGGTTACAAAAGTTGTTAACCGTTATACTGAAATTGTAAAAATTTTCAAAAAAATTGTTTTCCGCTGCCAGAGCTTCGGCTACCAATTGTTGAATTTTCCAAAAAACCTGTTGTTAATTGATATACTAAAGTTGTTAATAGTATTACAAAAGTTGTTAATGGTTATATTGAAGTTGTAAAAATTTTCAAAAAAATTGTTTCCAGCCGCTGGAGCTTGTTGAATTTTCCAGAAAACCTATTGTGAACTATTATACTGAAATTGTTAATAGCGTTACAAAAGTTGTTAACCGTTATACTGAAATTGTAAAAATTTTTAAAAAAATTGTTTTCAACCGTTGAAGCTCTGGTGACCAATTATCGGCCCGTTGCTGGAGCTTCGGTGACTACCGCTGCCAGAGCTCCGGTGACCGGCCAGCCAGCGGGAGCTTTGGTAGTTTAAAAACAATAAATAAAATGAAGGGTAATTTGATCTTTTTCTTTAACATGATAATCCCAATTTGGTTTTTTGAGAACAAATTGGGATTTCTCAAATTCAGTAGACCATTTGGACATTATGAAGTTAATCTGTCATTTTTCTGTCTTTTTCCCTTGGATTATTGAGCCAAACATACCAGCACATACCGGAAATTAAGGCAACAAACGATTATATTGAGGCTGCTGAAAATCTTCAACTTTGAATCTAGGAAGATGGTTTGGCTTTTGTCTTTTCTTTGGAGGTATATTCATCCCTATGAACTTCATTAATTCGATCCTATAGAATGTTGTCATGTTAAATAGTTATTATTACAAGTGAGAAACAAAATAGTTTAAAATGACAGGATATGCTTTTCTGTGGATTATATGAAGTGTATGGGGTTTTTTTGTTTTCTTTGGGGGGTGATGAGGCACACTATATATTCACGATTTGTAGCATAAGATCATATTTGTTGACATACCCACTACAAAAAAAAAAAAAGACTTTCAGCGATAACTTTCAGTGGCGACACAAAATATCACCGCTGAAAATGTGACCTTCAACGGTGACATTAAGAGTCGCTACTGAAAATCTTACTTCCAGTAGTGACCATGAATGTCACCGCTGAAAGTCAATTTTTAAAAGTGAAACTTTGAACAACGACTCCTAATATCATCTCTAAACAGGACTTTTAGCGGTAATAGTTATTGTTACCACTGAAAGAGGCATTTAGCAGTGACTCAATATTGCCACTGAAAACACCTTTCAACAGTGACATTTTTGGTCGTAAGTAAAGTCGCCGCTGAAAGTCTATTTTAACTTTTTATTATTATTTTAATTTTTTTTATAAAAAAATCATATTTAAATAATAATTTTGTTCATTAATATGATTTGTTATGACAAAATAAAGTAAATTTACATGTTGTTGTGTTAGAGAGAAAGAAAGAGAAGGTTAGAGAGATAATATGGTGTGTGTGAGAGTAAGAGAGAGGAAAGGAGGAAGGAATGAGTGTGTATGAAAATGAGATTATAATTATGTGTGTGTGAGAGAATTAAATAATCATGATAAAATTTATAATTAAATTTTATTATTTTTTATATACTATTTTCATGTTTCATAATTATAAATATAAATATTAAAATAAATAATATAATAGCTTAAATAATTAGAAACAAAAAAAATAACAAATAATATCGTGTGAATTATATTTTTTTTTATACAAAATGGGTATTATAAATAAATATTTTAATCAAATAAGAAAATTAAATATAAATATTTAATAATAGTATTATTATTTAACAATATATGATAGAGTAAAATACTCTGGTTACCCTTCTAGTTTACATCAATTACACAGACCTCCATTCTATTTTAAAAATATATAATTTAATCTAATAAGTTAACACTGTTAGGAATATTCTAAAAAGATTCTAAAAAAATTATTTTTAACTAAAATTTATATCAAAATAAATTCTACTTACTATTTTACCCTTCATTCTAATAAATTCCTAAACTATATTTTTACAGTTACATAAATGAACATAAAAGATTTGATTAAAAATTTAACTAATTTTTTCAATATATATACATATGCATGCACACTTTGACTAAACATGTTTATAAATTTTTGTAACAAAGATGTGTTTAAAAATTTTGAATTATAAATTTAAATAATTTATAAAATCTTTTAAACTTATATTATTTAAACTCTAACAAAAACTATGTATTTGAAATATTTTTTTACAATTTAAAAGAAATCAAAGTAAATAATTTTTAATGAATGTGATAAAACATTAAAATAATAAAATTTTATGATTTAGATCAAAATTAATAAATTTTGTAACATATTAGAAATTTTAAAAATATACGTATTAGAATTATTTTTGATTTTATGAAAAATATAAATGTCTAAATAATTATTAAGTTAAAAAGGGGCATTTTGATGGGAAAAAAAAATTTAAAATCAAACTTAACGGTAAGCTAACAGTTTGGGTGGATGAAAATTGAATACTAAATATAGGATAAAGGTTTGTGTAACATACATTTTAATTGTAAGGGAGGTTTATATACATTTTCAAAATAGAGGAGATGTTTCTATAATTAATATAAAATAGAAGGGTAGTCGGTTTATTTTACTCTATATAATATAATAGCCTTTAGCGATGACTATTTGTCGCTGTTGAAATACACTTTTAGTCGCGACATTTTGGTCACTGCCAAAAGTTTTTTTCAATATTTTATTACTATTATATATATTTGATTTTACAACAATTATTATCAAATTCTTTCCAACTCAATGGTAAGAAGAAGGGATGTAGAAGGAGGAGGTCAGGAGTTCAAATCATAGAATGGCCATATTTATGGTGATAATATCCAATTGGTGACGTAACGCGTTGAGGTGTGGACACATGGCATAGGTGAGGCCAGCCTATTTTTTCTGGTGACTCTTTTCGTAGTCACTGATAAGTTTCAGCGACAGTTGCTACAGCAACAACTTGGCTATCGGCGGTGACTTTGAGTCAATTTTTTTTTTAGTGACTATTGATAATATAAAAATTTATTGTTAATGTATAATAAGGTTAATATAGTTTTTAATTTTTTAAATTTGACCTCATTTAGATATATGAAATATGAAATCAATGTTTTTTGTTATTGAATTTCGAATATTCAACGTTTATAGGTAGAGTAAATTTTAAGGATTAAAAATAATAATTTTAAATTTCAAGAAAACTAAATATTGTATCAACTCAATATAATATTTTTATATGATATGTCGTTCTATTCACATGTTGTAAATTTTAAATTGCTGGTCTGCTGGAATGTAGAATAATGAAAGTTATAAATGAAAAAGAAAAATTGAGATGGATGAAATGAATTATATTTTTTTTGTTAGTTATATATATCCTCCTATTGGGGTTAATTTTGTTCGATAAACTGTTGAGTACTAAACGTGAACATCTCTCTTAGGAAAATTTGAACCTTAGTTCATCATGTTATGAGGGACTAGCTCTTTCTATTAGATT